ATCTGTGAATTATGTCAGTAAAACTGTCATAATGTGGTGGTGTATGGGTGTGGCGTTTTGTTGTTTGGTGTGTTGTTTCTTTTTCTTTTTTCCTTTCCTGGTGTGGTGGTTTTTTGATAACTTGATGCTTTTTTCTTATGTCTAGGAATTTGTTCTAATGCTCTTTCCAATAGTCTCCTGATCTTTTTTTTTTTTTTAAAAGCACTCCCTCTTGTGTTAGTAACAGCATGGTCTTTATTGTTTCAGTCATATCAGTTACCCAAATCTGTTTGATAACAGTATATGTGTCATTAGTGTTTAACGGAATTCTATTGTATTTCTTTTTTCCTAAGCCTTCAAATGTTTGGTTGGTTTTTTTTTTTTTTTTTTTTTTAAAGCCCTATGCTTTGTTGCAGAGCTTTGAGGATATCAAGACTTCTGAATTTTCCTCCTCTTTGTAGTTTCTTTACAATTTTACTCAGCTGGCATCTGTGCAGCTTTTGTTGCTGCCAATGTGCTAGTAACAACTGAGACTGTTATTGTCTGTCTCTCTTCTTCAGGTCTTAAAATGTTTTAGTAACAGCATGTATTTGGGCTCAGCTGGTGATCCATTTCAGAACCTTGAATTGAGATTTACTGTAGTTACAACAGAGCCTGAGATATCATCTCCATGTTAAGTGTTGTTAATGTGATAATAATGAAGCATGTCTATGCATAAGTCTGTGTAAGCATTATCAATGAGTCACTGGTTAGCCAGATTTCATGTAAATGCAAAGGTGGGTATATTCAAGCAGATTAACAGCAAAGCTGGGGTTGTTATGATATGATTGTAAACATTGTGTTATTGTGCTGAGAGCATGGTAGTAGTCATAATATGCCTTAATAAAGCCTGTAGGCAGATAGTGGTGTGTACCTAAAGCCATTGATTTTGTTACCTTTAGGGTGTGATCTGAGGAGGAATGAAAAGATGTAACTTCCTCATGACATAGAGAACTGGGGTTAAATTTTGTTACTGATGATTTACAAAAGTCTTTTACCAAGGCAGGAACATAGGATTATTTCCTACTTTACAGGTGAGAACTGAGTTATGATTGCCGAGCGACTAAATGATTTCACCTCTCTTACAGAAAAGCCCATTTTCCCTCATCCCCACCATGTAGCCACTAAAAGCTGTAGCTGTGGAGGTAGTCTCCAGCTTTAGGACAGTCGTAAGCGATTCTGGTTATCCCTAGAGAAAAGTTACAGAACTTCTTGAGTTCACTAGCAGGAGCATGCTGCTGAAGTGGGGTTTCTTCATCCCCAATGTGGAGAAGGTAGGGAATAGGTATGATTTATGAGGCGTCTGTTCCCATGGGCAGATACACTGCTGGCAAAATATTGAGTGTATAGATAATGATTCATCTCATATTAGATAAGCATCAATGTAACAGGACCTTTTCCATGTGTATTTTCTGTGAACTTAAAAATAATAGTAGTAGCTTCCTGAAAGCTTTCAAGAGTGTGACAGAGCTCAATAGTTCTGCTGTTTGTGTGTGATATGTGAGGTTGCTAAATGTCTTCTCAGTTCCCTGAAGGCCCATTTAAAAAAAAAATAATACAGGGAAATCTAATGAACTGACCTCGAAGAAGCTGCTGGCTGGAGGGAAGTCTTAGGGAAATTAAAAATTAATGGAGGCTTGCTTGTATGTGTTATGTTTGAGGCAGAAAGCATATTTCTCACCAGGTTATTTAGGTTTAAGTGACTTCTCATGTATGTATGTATATAACTTGAACTCATTTTAAATATGCTAATTCTTTGTGCCTCACCCCTCCAAAACTATATTTCAGTAGTTAGGTTCTTCTGTTTCAGGTTTAAACGTTTTTTCCTCCTTTTTCATACAACATAAACGATGTGAAATCTTTCATTTGGCTGATTACCATTAGCCATATAGTGGCTAAGTCTAGCTTTATGAAAGTTCATTTTGGCACACTTGGTGACTTTCTTCCTCCTGACTTAAGGATAAAATACGTAGAATGTAACAGTGAAGGAGGCTCCTGCTCTGTACTACTTCCTTACACTAGTCATGTCGTGTGAGCTACAGCTATAATCTTAAGGCCTTAAAGGTTAAAGGACCTTCAAAATGCTCCTCCCACATCTTTAATTCAGTAGTTATCAGTGTAGTAATCTCTACTGAAGCACCAAAGTGATGTGAAAATGTGATGATGGTGAAGAGAAAGTGCTGCATGAAGTTAGGGGTGATGCTTTGTGCTTCAGGTTCTTAACCTTGAGTGGGTATGAATCAGGGTGACTTTCTACTGTGAAGGATCAGGATCAAGGAAGGTGTTTTTCCAGGTCATATTGTAGAATCATTAAAGTTGGAACAGACACGTAAGATCATCAAGTCCAACCATCAAACCAACCTTGACCACTAAACCATGTCCCAAGTTGCTACATCTACATGTTTTTTTTTTTTTAACACACCTGGGGATGGTGACTCCACCACCTCCCTGGGCAGCCTGTTCCAGTGCCTCACCACTCTTTCAGGAAAGAACTTTTTCCTAATAGCTGACCTAAACCTCCCCTGGCACAACATAAGCCCATTTCCTCTCATCCAAACACTAGTTATTTGGGAGAAGAGACCAATACCCACCTCACTACAGCCTCCTTTCAGGTGGTTATAAAGAGCAATAAGGTCTTGCCTCAGCCCCTTCTCTAGATTGAATAATCCCAGTTCCCTCAGCCAGTCCTCATAGGACATATTCCCTAGACCTTCACCAGCTTCATTGTCCTTCTCTGGACCCACTCCAGCACCTCGATATCTGTCTTACTCTGTGGTGCTCAAAACTGAACCCAGTACTCAAGCTGTGACCTCACCACTGCTACACCCTGTGTACAGGGGCACAATCACTTCCCTCCTCCTGCTGGCCACACCATTTTTGATACAGGCCAGGATGCTGTTGGCCTTCTTGGCCACCTGGGTATATTGCTGGCACGTGTGCTGTCTAACAGCACCCCCAGGTCCTCTTCCACTAGGCAGCTTTCCAGCCACTCTTCCCCAAGCCTGTAGCATTGACTGGGTCATTGTGAGTCAAGTGCAGGACCCAGCACTTGGCCTTGTTATACCTCATACAGCTGACCTCAGCCCATTGGTCCAATCTCTCCAAGTCCCTCTGCAGAGCCTCCTGACCCTCAAGCAGATCAACACTCCTGTTTAATTTGGTGTCATCTGCAAACCTACTGAGGGTGCACTCATTCCCTTTATTCAGATCATTGATAAAGGTGTTAAACAAGACTGGCCCCAAAGCTGATCCCAAAGGGGGATGCTTGTGACTGGCCACCAACTTGATTTAACTGCATTCACCACAACTTTCTGGACTCGGCCACCCAGCCACTTTTTAACCCAGTGAAGAGTCCACCTGCCTAGGCCATGAGCTGCCAGCTTCTCCAGCAGAATGCTGTGGGAGACGGTGCCTTACAAAAGTCCAGGTGGGCAACATCCACAGCCTTTCTGTCATCTACTAGGCACGTCACCCAGTCACAGAAGGAAGAGAAGAGATGGCAAGTTGCCAACCTCTTGGTATTTTCAGCTCTGTTGAAGACTAAAAATGCATTTTTAAAGTCATAAGTGTGTATAGGTCACAGTTCCTGAAGTCACATGAAGACTAGAGTTAGCTTTAGATAACAAGCATTTCCATGAGTCATAGAATTAAACGACGTTTGACTTCCCCCCCCCAATCTTTTATTGTCCTAAACCTGACTGATTCTGATATCTAAAAAAAATAAAGCTGGTTCCAGTTAAGTATTTAGTTATACTGGGTCAGATATAAAGGCTCTCCTCTGTGGATTCACTGGCATTGAGGGGTGGGGCTGAAGGCAATGCTTCTGTGAGTGGAGGAGGATCTTCTGTAGAATCACCTATTTTTATAAAGCACATTGGGATTTCGTATTTGTATTATCCCTACTCTTTCATCAGACTTGGTTAGGAATTGGCTGTTGGGTTTAGGCACTGCTGGGGAAGAAGATAATTGAAGTGGGATTCTGTAAACTTTGTTTCCTTTAGGAAGCTATGCTTATAAAAATAATTTTTAGTGCTTACAGTGGCAGAGGACACTTCCACATGTGAGTAGCAGGGAATGGATGAATGTGCTGATGCCTGAACGAGCGGAGAGGCTGCAAAAGAAGCTAAAGAGGTCATTTTGGCAAGCAGTGCTGGCTGGTGTAAACCAGTGCTATCTGAATGAAGGAGCTCTGCTGCTTCTGTGCCCCTGAATTAGATTAGTACTTTATAATAATTGAAAGTGTTGAAGGTCATATTTTCTGCTTCTGTCCATTATGGGAGTACAGTCTTTGAAGTCTGTTTTTCAGGGGTAGGCCACGAGTATTTCAGAAGGGCAAGAAGGTAAATTCATTCTTGCTGCTGGACTTAGACTTGGCCTGCCCTCTTCTGCTAGCAGGGGCTTAGGCTTCTTGCTAGTGCTTCTGAAAGAGACTTGATCATGCTTTACTGTTGTGCCTCCTTCACTGGGCCTCGTTTGCTGTCTTAACTTGCAGCATGAAGGTGCTCTTGAGGTATGCCTCAGGTTTTGAATTGGTTAAATCTATCTTGGACAGTGTTCATTGTGTACAGCAAAAGTACAATGACTACTGTAATGTCCCTGGGTTACTACAGTGTCGAAAGGGGTTTGGAGCTTGTTTCCAGGACTGGTAATGAAGGAGCTTAAAACCTGTGGAATTTGAAATCTTAACCAAAGTAGAGGAACTGGATTTGTCAACACTAACTACAAGTCTTCTTAATGCTTCCTGAAATCCATGTGATTTCAGGTTTAGGCACTGTTAGATGTAACGAGAGTTTGTAATTTTGTCAAAAGTAAGAATTGTTTGGTCCAACGCCAGCAAAAATATTATGACATAATACCTCTTATAACTTGGGGACATAAGAAATTGCATTGCAGCATGAGGCTTGTTCTACTGAGCAAAGAATCTGCTAATTAGTATCGGAGGGTTTAACTCTGTTATTTATTTTTCCTATCCTCTTCCCTAGGAATGTTTAGGAAAAATGAAGATCTGACACCATCACAGAGGTGCTTGGCTGTAAGGTAGGCTTTCAGACATCTTTGAGAATCTAATTTTGGGGATGGGAAGGAGCTGGTGTTTTGTGTGCTTTGTTAATGCTCTGTGGAACTGCTGTAGTTCACATTTAAGACAGAGAGTTTACAAACTCACATACAACAGATCCATGCTTTTTATATTTGTAGCTTAATTCATACATCTGTTCTCCTGGAAAATATCACTAGAAGTACGTTTTATATTTCTTGAAGTAAAGCATTCTAAGATGTATGCAGTCTATGCAGATTAATGCCATATGAGACAGTAGACTAGTTAACATTTAGTACATATATAAAGTAGCTGGTTTATTTGTATTTTTTTGGTATTTAACTTACCTTTTCTCCTTTCTTTATTCAGGAGACTTGAAAATAGTTTGTTGTCCTGGGTGAAACACATCTTGACTTGAAGCATTTTCCTTAATTGAAATTATTGCCCATTATCACAAACCTTTGCTTACTGATATAGCTGCTGAGGAGAAGAAAACCACAAACCATTGAACAAACACATAGGGAAACACCTTTTCTTCTCCTTCCCCAGGCTCAGCTTCAGTCAAACACCTTGACTGAATGAGGAGGGAGTCACCAGAGTTCAGGAGTTCTGTCTGAAAATGCTCAGCACAGATTGGAAAGAAATACTATGTGTACAATGTCTTAAGCTGTGATTACAAAAGACACACACTGCTTTTCTACACGTGGGGTTTACTGCAGTTAGAGTAAACAGTAAAATGGAGTATTAACTTTTCCTGCTGTGGAAATTCTGTAGAACTACATGTTCCATCTCACAAGTTGCTTGTCTTTGAATTACAGACGCATGCCAAGTCTACTGGAGTATTTAAGTTACAACTGTAATTTCATGGGTATCCTGGCAGGCCCGTTATGCTCTTACAAAGACTATATTACTTTCATTGAAGGCAGATCATACCAACTGCAACAGTCGGAAGCAAATGGGAAGGAAGATACAAAATATGAACAAATGGATCCTTCTCCAAATGTAAGATGTGTGACTCTTGCAGTGCTGATGCTCATGTAATCCTTGCATGAAAAGCTTGGTTTGCACTGTTCACTTACAGGCATAACCTCCAAGCTGTATCTGGAGTACAGTTGTCAACAGTGTAGTTCCCTATTCAAAAAGTCAAATACGTTTTAGGCAGGTTTCCTCCTTGTTTTCCAGTCTGGATCTTGTGGATAAAAGCAGATTAAATTGGAGCTTCCGAACAAGCTTATGTGGTAAAAAGCTGTCTTTAAATTAAAAGCATTCATGCATGTTTCTTTCAACGCATATATTATCCATAAAAAAAGTCCTGGTAAGGATGAAGTGCACATTTTGGCATTTGAAAGCTGATGAGACTTAAAGGTTCCAGCAAGGTTTTCTGAATGTTCTCAAATTCTACTGTTTAAAGTCATCTTTCACTGGGCAGAAAACATTCATATGCAACAATTTGAAAACACTCATAGAAATTGCTTTGTTTTTCTTGCTTACATTCAAGTAGAAAGGTATTAAAGATGGATTTTGGTCTAAAGATGTAGTAAAAGAGATACTAGCCATAACACTATGGCTTGTAATCTGTGCAACATATTTCTTTGTTGTTGTTGTTATTCTGTTACTGGAGAACAGACCAAATACATACAGAATAAAGTCCAGTTCATCATACCTTACAAGATATATTGTATGACTTGAATTAAAATCAAAAGATTGTGAGTCTTGTTATTTTTAAAATTTAATTCAATTAGTTTAATGCCCAGCGTACTGAATATTATCTCTTCACTCTTTTCATGTTCTCTTAAATGGGAGCGTATCAGACTTAAATTTGTGAGTGCCTAAGATAATTATTACAACACATAAAAAGCAAAATTACTGTAGCTGACTTAAACACTTCAGATAAAATGGCTTTCTCTGGTTTCAGCACCAGTTACTTGTTTTCCTTTTATCTTACCAGCTGTTGCTGGAGCGCATGATGTTTTTCCCACATGGAGCTGCTTGTCTAGTCCTACCATCTAGAGGTTACCATCCCCACAGCTGGGCTAACAGGGAGTGTTTTCCATTCAGTTTCATCAGCTCCAACTGCTTCCATCCTTTTAATGTGGATGAGGATTCTTTGCACATTTCATTCTACCCATGTTGTGTGGTTGTATTAACTTGCACCACAGGAATGTAAACTAATGGCTAGAGGATGATAATGCTTTAAACTGCTCCCTAAGCTGACAAAGCCTCTAAGCTCATAGAAGTGTGCTGTTGAGCAAGTAGTTAAAAAGGGCAAAAGACACAGCAGAATTCCTTGCATAGATTGGTACCTCATAGTCTGTAGTCTGCACTGATGTGTTCTATTAGCAAAATTGCAGGTACTTCCTTTGTTTTCAAACATTGTTTTGGCACAGTAAAGGCATCACATTTTATGTACTAAAATCTTATTTCTACAGGAAACATTATGTAGTAAAATTATTGCAAATAAATGGAGCCAACCAAATCTGGCAGTATCAGTACTTCTGGACATGCATCTACTGATGCCTGATAGGCATTCCTAGCTTTTTGCCACATAATCTTGGTAGTAATCTGAACAAAGTCAATAGAAATAAATGTAAACCTATTGTGGATTCTGCTTTCAGGTAAGCAGTTTTCCTTAAAATGAATGGCTCTTAAGATGCTTAACACTTTTTGCAATTTATGCTGCAGTAGCTTTTCACATAAAAATAAAGACAAGCTGTGTATGTTGTTGATGTTTCATTTCCCAGCTAGTGTTTGAGCAATCTGGCTGCATTTTATAACACAAGTGAGTATTGTGTGCTTTTGGAGAAATACGGATGATACAATTTTACTGCATTTGCTGCATCAATTAAAGAATAGTCTTGTTCTAGAAGGTTTAAATAACATTAAATGAATATTAATACTTTAAATTTACTCCTTGATTCTCATGTTATTTCAAGAAGAAAAATTGTTAGGTAACTCAAAAAATGAAATCTAATGGGGATCAGCAAATGTTAATGTAGTAAATGGACAAAAAAAATCCTTCAGCTAAGTTACAGTAAGTTTTGTTTCATGTTAAATACAGTTACATAAAGTAGTTCATGCCAGCATCCTCCTCTATAATGTGTTGACTGCATGATGTTAACTTGGTTTAGCATTTTTTTGCTGTGTCAATTGCATGTTAAATGAATCAAATCAACAATTAAAATTTATTTCTTCTACCCCTCCTATTGTGCCTTTTTGCAAGCTATCAATTGTTGGTGCTCAAAGTGGTGTCAGCTCTCAGAAATTAATATCTGTCATTGTAAGTTTCTTTTTATTATGGCTACCCTCAGAATACAAGATTCCTATCAGCACATATCTGCTTTCTTGCTTATTATCCAGACTCTTCCTACATGTTATAAAGTTCTTGCTTAATTGCCTGTAATTTTTACCTGAGGTGCTGACCTCCTCGAAATAATGTTCTTTATGGTAGTTCAAAGTTATACTGAGCTCCTTATTGGTTCTTTGTCAACCAAGAAAAAGTTAATTCAAATAAGTTTTAAAGATCCTTTGCTACTTCTTAATCTATCTTTTTATATATTACACATTTATGCAGTAATATATTTCTACAAATCCTGAACTCAGTGAATGCTTTACCTTTATTGCTTTAATTAGAAAGCTGTTCCTGAACTTCCTTCTCTGATTAGGTATCTAGCTTTCAACCTAATTATATTCCCATCTGATTTATGCATGCTCGGTTTTGCCCTGGCACTGTCTTTCAGCTTTAAGTACCTTTTTTTCCTTCCCAGTATTGACTATATTTGATATTTTTGTACAGGTATGCCCAGTTTTTGTTCATCAAAACTAAAATGAGCCATCATTTTTGTTATAAAATAAATTGTGTATTCTACTTCATACGAGGTCAAAGTTCTCCTGCGGCTTTTGGTCTTATAATTCCTTAACAGAACAGTTATTTTGATACATTGAAAGAGAGAGTGAAATCAAACTCAAACTTTAAAATTAGTTACTACATCCTTGTAAAAGCTGACCAACCCTTCTGTGAATATGCAATCCATTGATTACTCATGGCAAAGAAGCTTATATCAATGACTTGGTTAATTCTACGATAGGAAATGAGTTTGTTTTGCCAAATGCATTTCTGTAGGTAATTGAACAGTAGATTATATTGGTGTCAGGTGAGGACTTCTATTTCTGTAGAGTTGTACTGAAAACTTGAGTGCTATAAACAAGCCTTAGGCTGTAGTTTAATCTGTTTAGGCCAACCAAACTATAAACTCTAGCAGAATATAGTGTGTCCTAGCTGGGTCCTTTGCTCATCCTAGCAGGGCCAATGTGCGTTGCTCTGCCTTCTGGTCTGATTCAGATTGTTTGATCTATCTTAAAATTAACTTGTTATTTGAAAAACAAAACCAAAACAACAACCACCAAACCCAACTCCCTGTAGAAAATAATCCAAACAACAAAAAAAGCCAACCAACCAAAATGCACAAAAAACCAACAACCACTCCGAACAACTTCCCCCTACCACACCCCAAACAAAAAATAAACCACCCACCCAAAACACCAAAAGTCTAGTTTTTCAACTGATTTATTTCTCTCATCTAACTCATAGAAGGTGAGGAGACAGGGCAGGGCTGTTCCTTTGCTTTGTGGCATGTGTTTGGATTTTCATTCTGAAGGACTTATGCTTAAAGCAGTCCTCAAACTGCAGCTCCCAGTCTTTCTAGAGGCAAGAGATTATTTCCTTCACTGTTTGCTAAGGACACTAGTATCCCTGATAGTGATTCCTGTAAGAGGCATCAGCATACTTGTTTTGGGGTCTGGGATTTATAATTATTGAGTGAAGTAGTGTACACTTTTTTCTTAAAAAAAAAAAAAACAAAAACAAAACAAAACAAAAAACCTATTTCTGGATATAGTAGTTATGCTTGTCCCTACACCTAAATGTTGCTGCTAAAGAAAATTGTAGAAATCCATCATTTAAAAAAATTAAATCAGCCTCTTCCTATAGTATTTTTCTACAACTAAAAATTGAAAACTGCAGTTTATTTTTTAGAAGTACAGTTTATGGCAGAGTCCTGTATAAGTTTATTTTTTAAGATAAATTTTGTTAAAATGCTGATTTTTTTTGTTAAAAGAAGGGCTTTCACTGCCATGATTTAGTTAAAAACTTTCAAAGTGCTACTAAGCATATTTTGGGTTGAATAGGCAGATCAATGATTTCTGTTTACCAAAAGGAAAACTGGTAAGTAGTGGAAATGTCAAAAAGGAGGCCTTGGAACAGATAACAGTGCTTATAAGTTGCAAAAAATATTGAGACTTTGTAAAGATCTTCAGATGGAAAATACCTATTTTAGATGTTTATGCTTATGTTTTAAGTTGCATGTTTATATTATCAGCCTATAGATACTCTTTTTCATACTAAATTGAACCTGACTTATTTATGGTTTCAACTTTAAAGTTAAATCCTTGCAACTGTCTTCAGAACTTTGGGGTCGTGCCTCTTGGTATTTACAAATATCTAACTTTTGCATGTATCAGATATTGCGTACCAAAATTAAAGATTCATTAGCATTAATAACAACTGATTTTATGAACATTTGTTTCTATTTAAATTCCTGAAGAAATTAAGCCAACTGAACTTTCCCTCTGCTCTGAAGAGAGATGGATTCATAGTTGCCAGAAAAGCAAAGGAACACTTTCAGAAAGTTAATGTCCTTTCCTTTGAACTCTTGTAATAGAGTAAAATATTGAAATGAAGTTTGTTAGAAAACAAGTAGAAACAAATAATTAAACACCAGCTTTAGCTGTTAGTGGGCAGTGGCCTTCTGAATTATCCAGCTGGTTTTTTTTAATTAGCTGGGTTTTCTGATCTTCTCCAAAATATCTTCTGATATGAGTGACAGGAAATACATGCAATATCCAAAGTTACCCCAACTGTTTTACAGCTTTTCCAAGTCTTAATATTTTATCAAGTTGTACCACTTCTTACATCTGTGTGACTGGGTGAATCTTTGATACTGTGTCTTGCAGAAATGTGTGTATTCAGTTGGTCATTTAATGCTTCATACTGTGTCATGGAACAGAATTACTCTTTATTTTGGAACTAGATATGTGAAGTTGCACTCAAACTGAAGCAGGACATTATCTTTAAAAGTTTCCTTTAAAGAGCATTATTGCTCTGTGTGTTTTATTATAGAACCTTATTTTCCTGCAATTACATACTCTTCAGTGTGGTGGTTACAGCAAAACTGAGTTTTGAGAAAATCTGGGTCCAAGTCCTACCTGAACAATGTATTTTTACATGTCTATGGGCTTGTTATTTGATCCTTTATAGCTTGATCACTCTAGTGGGGAAAACAGGTCTGAATAGAACAGAGGTATTTTGGCTGAAAATTTATAAGTTATTTCAGTATTTTAGTTGGTTTAGAATTTAGATACTGTAATAATAAAACAGATGCTAGATATATTGAGTTGGGCAGCAACTGATTATCTGCATTATACCAAACATTTTTGGTAATGAACTGAAGCTTTTCCATTGCCTTTGGAATCCCTGCAATAATTGTATCCATCTTGTCCTAGATTATATGCTTTGTGTGATGATGTCTTAACTTAGTTGCTTCAGTAATTTTACAATGAAGCAAAAAAAAAAGGATTTGCAAAAGGTGCTTCCATTACTGAAAGGGTTTTTAGAACCTGACTGTAGTCTGATTGGATTTGCTGTAACTGCCAGAAGAAGTGGTACTCACAAATTAATCAAGGTAACATTCTTTGGGTCTGTATAAAACATTGCCAGCTACTTTAACTTTGGTACTATATATTACTGAAAAATTGGCAGGTATATACCTTTGTTTAGGGAAGGAAGATTATAACTTGGCTTTGCTTTGAGAAGATTAACAAGAAAGGAAGCTTACAAAGTCTCCATGTTAAACTTTTCAGATAGCCGTGGCACAGAAACTCTTAATCTGTGGACTGTCCTTACTCTTCCACATGACTATCACAAAAACTTTGCCTGTGGAATACAACATTGATGATAACTTCAGAGCTACAGCATCATGGCCTGTAAGGGTTTTCTACCTATACGTGTCCCTTATGGCTGCCAGACCCAAGTATTATTTTGCATGGACTTTAGGTAAGTATATATATTAAAAAAAATAAAAGAAAGTGTACGTATTGAATTTCATTTGAGATGCTACACACTAAGCACGTATTACAAAGTGACAGTGCCCTCTGGAGGTTTTAGGAAAACATTATATGTAAGTATTAAGAGATATTGTTGAAGTATGTTGAGTGGTGTCTCTTTTGAGAAACAAAACTTAGCATAAATCTAAGCACTGTGTTGTAACAGTGTTGCAAATGATATCATGGTGCCCTGATCAAATCCCAGGGAAACAGTTTTCTGGACAGTGCTAGTGTTTTCACGAGCAATGACTTTTATGATTTTTAAAAACTGTACTAAATCTAGTCTGATACTTGTTTTGATTTTTTATAATACTTTGATTTTGGCATATCTGAAAAGTTATTCTAAGCCTCATTCTGTGGTTAGTTATCAGTAGTTTGCTTGATGTTCTTCAAGGAGAAATGAATATATTGAAATTCAGGTATATCATTGTTAATAGTAAATGGCATTCACAGTATTTTCAGAATTTGTTGGGTGACACTTCAGTTTTTGTTTACCAGAAGTTCTAATGACTGACAGGATAAGCCACTTACAGCCACTGATTTAAGATACTATTTAGTATAAAGAACGTTTTGCTTTTTGCTTCACCTTATTTGAAAAAAAAAACAAAACAACATATAACCACAAAAAAATGTTGTATTTATATAAACTGACATCTTGGAAGGGGCTCAAAAAACTTATTTCATCAGCTTCCTCCGCCTCTTGAGTTTTACATATTTGTGTCATAATTCGTTTGAGAGAGAATCTGTGGGAAACAATGCAATAAAGAAAGCTTTAGTGTAGCAGAGCAGCATGACTCATTTACAGCTGCTGGTTTCATTCTTGGTCAGTGAATGAAGTGCTTTCAGCGTGTCTGAATATAGTAATTCTGGGGCTTGTTGTGGAATGAAATAATTTTGAATGTTGTGTTTTTGTGCATCAGTATCTCTAAAGAGTAGGAGTTGGTATTTTCTCTGTAATACTTCAGATGGATTTCTCCTTATGTGCTTGCTAGCATTGTAGAGTTAGCATTCCTTTTGGTAAAATAATCAAGAAAATAAACTATATAAACTCTGTACTTTTAATTTTCTAATTAGTTTTTTTTTTTTACCTTTTTCCTTCTGCCTTACCTCATCTAAACTTCTGATGGTATAAGTAGAATGAGGGGGGCCCTTAACAGTTTTACTGGATGTTATGCTTTTAAGTTGTATGTTACTATTCTTTACCCTGAAGAAAAATAAATCTGTTACTAAAATGCATTACTTAAATATTTGCTAAAGTTCTGGGTAATAGAATGAATACTTACTCTAGCCATAGTCTTTGTACTCTATGGCATTCATGTCTTCAGCTGTTTCTAATTGAGCATTAAGTCACTGTCTAGTGTTTGAACTCGACATCAGTGCTATCAGATGTATAGCAGCAAATTTTCTTGCTTTTGAAGTTTTTTTAATATTTTTTTAATAAAAGAAATAAAAATATTATAAATTGTCCAGTCTTAAATTAAATGTCACAAAGTCCCCTTCCAGACTGGATAACTGGAAAAACTGAACTTCAGGAAAGGGAGTGTTTGAGTCAATTGTTTCTTTTACTTCCCAAATACACTGGATTAATACCTTGAAAAAGTTATTGAGAAGAAAGGAAAATGCAAAAGATACAAATTGTTTTTTACATATTACTATTGTATGAAGTAAATTCTTTTTAATATGGTAATACAAACTGAGCAATTTGTTGCCTTGCTAGTTGTAATTTAAAAGGTGACCATCTACTTTCAGTGCTTTAGATGAATTCTGAGCTAAGAGAGGGCTCGTGCCCTGTAACTAGAGGACTAGATCTCTGCTGCTTCTGCAGAGCCCTTTGCCTGCCTTGCTTCAGGCTCCTCTGCACTGCGAGAGGAGAGGGAGCTGGCGTTCTTCTCCCCACGGTCACTTGTTTATCCATGTAAGTGGATACATGGTTAGGCTCATTCCTTGTGGATGCGTGTCCGTGTTTTGGTGCATGCAACCAATTGCCTGGCTCAAGAGAAGCAATATTTGGGAAAAAAAAACTCATTTCCTTGCACATACCCATCCTAATCTGAGAAGTACAGCCAAAGACGTTTTAAAGTCTGAGCTAACCAAGCTGAGGCAAAGATGATTGAGAGTGATGAGTGATATTCTGAGATCCTTTGTATTTTCCTCATTGTCCAGATGGCAGTTCACAGCTTTTTCTTGCAGGTAAAAATATTGTTTACTTTGAACTATTTGACCTTTGACATACACTGTAAACACTTGGCATTCAGAAGTGTTGTTAACAGGGAGGGGCCTAGATTTGCAGCACTCTGTGGTGCTGTGACTGCACGTGCTTGAGGAGAATCGTGCCATTTTATCTTTATGTTTTAAACATCACTTCACTGTTGCTGCAGAACAGAGACCAAGGACATACATCTGAGTGTTGAGCTGCAATGTCAGACCAATACAACCAGCCACTGTTTCACAGTCCTGATGCAAGTTATTGAGCTTGGTCTTCTCTCATATGGCCCAAGCAAGTTTGAGTAGGTGGTATGAGAGAGTGGGGGCATCTGTACTGTGAAGCAGATCTTGCTGTCTTTCATTCTTTTGCTTTTGTACTTGTTCTCGAATTGGAAGCTGGTTTGTTGCTTGGATTATTTTCTGTTTGTTCGAGTGTCTAATACAGTGATACTCAGTATTTTAGAAAGTTGAATCTGTAGCCTTTACAATGTGATAAATATTTTGAACAAACTGTATGTTGTGTGGTGCACCATTTGTAATAGGCAGTTTATAAATAATTTGTTTGGTTTTGTTTCATTGCAGCAGATGCAATTAATAATGCAGCAGGATTTGGTTTTAGAGGCTATGATAAAAACGGAGTTACACATTGGGATCTGATATCAAATCTGAGAATCCAGCAAATAGAGGTTTGTTTCTGGCTCTTTCAAATAAAATACATGCCTATGTAGGTAGTTGCTTGTAATTTCAGTAACTTCTCCTCTGCATTTTGTTCCTCAAGATAGTGAATATGTTTTAAGTCAGAAATGACGTGTTCACACCCTTAGGAAAGGATGGAAAATAGAGTCTGTTTTGAATATGTTGTACTTGTCAGATGACTTCCAGAATATTTTGCAGTTATAAGTAGTTGAGTAAATACCTTATTCAAGTCATCACAAAGTCAGGGTTTAAAAAATAATCTATATGTCAGAATTTTGAAATATTTGGTACCACTTTACCATTACGGAAATAATTAGTTTGTTTTTACTTTACAGTTTTCCACAAGTTTCAAGATGTTTCTTGACAACTGGAATATCCAAACTGCTCTTTGGCTTAAAAGGTATGTATTTCTTAAAGAAAAGCTTTTTCTCCACTCACGTTTCTTAGATTAATATTTCTTTCAAGGTAATTTAACATCTAAAGCTAAACCCCACAAAACATCTCTTGTTTAGCAACTGCATGGGATGTTCTTCCTGCAATATTTGAATTAAAGCCTCTGAATTTAGGACTTCTTTCTTAATGTAAACTGTCAGGTTATGATAGAAACTGTTTTTTCTGTGCTGGTCACAGGGAATGTAAAACTATTAATCTGCAGAGGTGCGTCTCTTCTCTTTTTCTCTCTTAGCATTCAAAGCAGTGTGTGTTGCTGAGAGCAGCAGGCAAAATATACATCCTAGCCTGTGGAAGCTCTGCAATATTTTTAGCCCCACAGTGATACAGGAACTTCCATATATTCTCTGAGAGAACTTTCTGTGCTTCGTTTATGATGAGTGCATGACAAATACCAAACCCTACAGTGTGCTATCAACAAAAATTGCAAATGAATATCCCTCAGATGCGCTTTTTTCCTTGTCTGGAAACAGATACAGTGCCTGGTGAACTACCTCATTTTACCTTTACTACTTATCTGTCGTAACTGAAAAGTAAAAAAGTGTTCTGAGTAGTGCATGGGTGGCATTTCCCTTCCCTAAGTCTCTGTTTAGTTGATCTTTTATCAATAGGTGCAAGTTTAACAGAGACCCCTATCTTGGGTTCACTTGGAGGACTTTATCTCTTAATCTAGGATGGCTGGCAACAGGATGTTTCTTCCATCAAATTTCTTGATGGTGTATTTCTTCTTCTATAATTTCTTCCATAAATACTTTTCTGACCCAATTAAAAACAAAAGTGGAATTTTATGTGACTATTCTAGTTGGCTCAATAAACAATAGAAGCTATTGCCAGGGCAGTCAGCAAGGAAGAAGTGTGTGCTTGCAGGTATTGAAATGTATCATCTAATGGAGTAAATAAACTATTGTGTGCTTGCAGGTATTGAAATGTATCATCTAATGGAGTAAATAAACTATTTGGCTCTTTTAAAATGTGTTTTAACTTATTTAGAGAACAGTAGTTTATCGGCATTAAAACTCTGTAGGAAGAAGTTGTTTCAACAAACTTCCAAATCTCTTAAATGCAATGGTTATAAATAAAAACTCCTTTTATCAGAGAATAGTAACATTTCTGTTAAGAATTCAAAGAAAAAAATGCAAATCAGTTGCTCTGGGTAACATTAAAAGATGTGAAGAAAAACCCAAGCATCTTCTTTAATAGAAATTTTTAAGGACAGTTGCAGAAGAATTTTTGAGGTTAATCTAAATCTATATCGATTCTCCCACAGTCAAAGGGAGAAATGTGGATATTTTCTTGAAGTTTTGTTGCAAGGAAAAGACTGTTTTAATGATGAAATATGTAAATATATATATATTACCAGTACAGAATATATATATTACCAGTCATTTAGTTGGTTGCAGTGCTACAGCAGTTTAGCTAGAGGAAAAACTCATTTACTAATTTAAACACCTACTTTTAATACCTCACTTGTATGCTGAAGTACCTAAAATCTTAGCCATTTACCTCACATGAAATACCACACATCAGCCTCTGTTCTGTTCTTTTCTGATACGCCCTAAACAGAAAATGAACCATCAGGATTATGCTATAGATTATGCAGAAGTTTATAAACATTTAATTTAGATCACAAAATACAGCAGTTCAAAGGTATTACTGTTAAAAGCATACAAGTTAAAATATGTATTTACATAGTAGCATACATCAGCAATATGTATCATAAGAATGTTTCTTGACAGGGGAAGCTGGTTTTCCCCCTTTGCCTCTTCATTCTTTTTTCCGAAGAAAACATCTAATTCCATTTGTCATTGGTCATGATTACCAAACCTCTGTGGTTCTTGTTGCTTTTTTCTGGCATCTTTCCAAACTTTCTGTATTCTTACAGTGAATGTAGTATTTCTGCTAAGACCTTTCTTAAGGGTCTTTCCTTGGCTTGTTACAGGCAGAGTTGAATGATTTGAGTGGATTAATTAACTATATTTTCTTTAGATAACATTTTTTCTAATACAACAGTGTTACGTTTATTTGATTTGCAGCAGCAATCTACTGCTGATTCATGGTCAGCTGATACTCAGTGTTTCATACTGTGGATCCATATTTATACTCAGCTACAATTTTTCAGTAACATTACAGGAAAGGGTACTGGTTTGTATATTCCACTTTTCTTAGTAGGCGTTCTATACTTTGGACTTCATCTTGTTGATTTTAGAAGATCATTCAAGTCTGTTGAGATTATTTTGGATTCTAGTGCTCTCTATCTGCTAAAAAAAAATGCCAATATTGTCCACCCCACCTCCTACCCCAAAAAAGGAAGGGAAGACAAGGTGGAAAAACATACTTCTTAGTCTGCAATGCAAGCTAGTAATGGAAGTGTAGAACCAGACCAAAGGTAGTGCCTTGCTGAGCAGCTGGTGCATCTTCCCACTTCTAGAGCAAATTATGGATAAAATAACCTGAATTACCCATATTTGAATAGATTTTTCTCAGCCTGTTGTGATGACTGTATTTCCTTGATCTACTTTTAGGAATGTCAAGTGAAGCATTTCAACACAATTTATTATTGACAAATCCATGGAGGAGTTTCTTTGAAATTGAAGCATGATGATTTTTTTTTCTGGTATATCTCTTCTCTGATTTGCATTGATGTAGCTGAAATTTGGTTAGCTCATGAATGCTTTGCAGGGGGAAATTTAATTAAACTAGGTTAACCCAACTAAAGATTGAAGCCATTTATCAATTTATGAATATAGACATCACTAGCAACCAGCCAATGAAATACACATTCAGGATTGATATTGGTACTAGAACAGTTAATGTTCTGTAAGTGTCTAGTGTGCTGGTTTAATAAACATTTCTAAACACTCCTCTGTATCTGACCCCGAGGAGTTTGAAAAGCACAATGTTTGCACACAGCTATATGCAAACCGTGCCTCCCCTCCCAGGGCCCTCAGGGATACCAGCCCACACCTCCCCCGGCGCGGGAGCCCTCTGCTCGGACCCGCTGCCCGCTGGAGGTGGGGGTGCCTCAGCTCCATGCGAACCCCCAGCCACGCGCCGGTTAGAGCAGCGTGCCAGGAGCTCACGGGCATGCAGCGGACAGGGGTGAGGCTCTGCTCCCTGGGCACTGCACTGGCAGTCCTAGCTGCGTGCAGGCTGCTCAGGGTCTGCCAGGGAGGGTGCTCTGTCTTGGCCAAGAGAGATTGTGATGCCGGCGAGGCGACTCCTGGTAGCGTCAACCCAGATTTTGATGACTAGTATTTTGCTCCTAGATGTGCCTGGCTTGTTACAAATTTTCCTAATGCTTCTGTATTTTCTAGGCTGACATTCTTTGTCTGAAAAGTCTCTTTGAAATTCCATGGTGGTTGTTTAGTCTGGCCAGTGTTGCTTTCCTCTTTAAAGTGGTCTATTCTGGGCAGATGTCCTCAGATAATTTTGTGTGTTACACATGCATGCACCTGCACCCTTCTTAGGTCCATGTTCTCATCTTAATGGCTGTTGCTAGCAAAGCCCTTTGAGAAGGGGAGAGGGTTGTGCTGGTACACCACACTGACAGTCTCATAAAACTTACTACATCTATTTGATGGGAATAAGCTAAATTAGCTAAATATGCTTCTGATCTTTCCCTGTTCAGATCCTGTCTTTTTACCTTCTGCTCTTTAATATTGACTCTATCACTTGCTGTCAGCGATCTTTTGTATATGTGGCTGTTGTAGTAGTTGCATTAGTAGTGAGTGTTTCAGCCCTCTGTATGGTTAGCTTGCCATCTTTGAGTAATAGGTATGCATTCTCTCTCTGTGACTTGCTGTGTGTTTATAAAACCTTTTTACATACTGGTGTCTATGGCCTTTTTTAGTTAAGACTAATTTTTGTATGTTATCCTTAGATTTGTGTTCATGCTTGTGCTGTTTATTTTTGCTTCACGTTTGTGTGTTTCTGGTTCCATATTTCCTATTGCTTTTTGGTTTTCAGATCATTAAAGACATTAAAGAACTCTTGATGAAGCCATATCAGGACCTTACCATGTTTCCTATCATTCTTCCACATCATGATGGTTTGTCACTGTGTCATTAAATGTCGTCTCCTAGAAACTACATTTCTTGGATTCCTTTTTTCCTTCTTCCTTCTGCAATTTCTTACTGTAGGACCTTGCCTAATAGTTCAGAGTCTCGATTTTTAAATAGCAGAAATCAGCACTCTCCTGATTTGAAATTCTCACATCCCTAGAGTCATTAATTATAATTTTGTTGTCATGCTCACCTAACTGCCCTACACAGATACATTTTCAACTGTAGCCTATTACTCAAAATTGAAGGTGGTTGTTGCTTTTCCCCTTCTCCTGTAAGTTGCTTTCTTTTTATGAAAAAATACATGTGATTCACCACAAGAGTTTACGTTGTGGTCTGTGCCTTCCACTGTAGCTTTTCAAACACATTCCTGGATGGCTCAAGGTGTCTTATTAACACCAACACCCATTTTCAGATGCTTGTGTATTGCTTCATTCTAAATATGTGTCATGTGAGCTGGCTCTGAGCATAGGAGGGGTTAAATCAGGAGCTGTGAATAGCTGTAAGTATTTACTGTAAGTTGTAATATAGTGACAAGATTATTAAATAATAGTAAACTGCAATTGCATTGTGAATGAAGTCTTGGACATGAACCTTCTAACAGTATAAATGATAACTGGGAAGATTGTTGATAATTTGTTTTATTTATCTTGAATTGTCTTTGCCTTGCTAGAGTGTGCTATGAGCGAGCCTCCTTCAGCCCAACGATCCAAACCTTCATCCTTTCTGCCATCTGGCATGGGGTTTATCCAGGATATTATTTGACATTTTTAACAGGAGTGCTAATGACACTAGCAGCACGAGCTGTAAGTACCAAACAAGCATCTTTTTAAATAATAAGTTTCGTAAAAGAAAATTTATCATTTTCCATAGTCCAAAGATGTGCTTTGCAGTTAGTACCCAGATGGTCTGGTAGTGGTGCAGAGCAGTGGGAATGATTGCAAGCATTGATCGGTGGAAACAAGCAGCTTATAACATAGCATGTCTTCTGAGAGAGCTCTTCCTCTGTGTTAACTGATCATGTATCACTATGCCAAGCTGAACAGGATGTTGTTATCTAAGATGATTTTGAAAAAACTTTCTGATGATGAAAAAATTACTGATAAGTAGCTTAAAATTTCAGTTCAATGCTGTATAGAGTCTGCTCCCTCCCTAATTTATGTCCAGTACTACTGGAAGGTGGTAACTAAAGAATGCTCCCTCTGAACCGGCAGAAAAAAAAAAAAAAACTCTAGTGCAGTGACAATTCAAAATTGGCTAACCATCAGTGCGGTCAAATTAACAACCTTCTGCAGCTGCTTTTCAGAGCCATGTGGAACCAGAAAATCTGTCAAGAAAACTCTCAGAGTTCTGCTTGAGAAAGCTGCATAAGTGCTGAGGCAGGTTTATCAGTTACTTGGTGGGAAAGAGGAACAAACAAATTAGATGTCAGCTCAGAGCAGCAGAACAGACTGCTTCTGTGTTCCAAGAGCCAGGAGAATGAGCAGTGAAGCAGGCAGCTCTTTGCTGCCCTACTAGCTAGGGGAAGATGATACTTCAGATTTAGATTGTTACTAACTGTAATAAAACAGATGCTTCTTTCTTTCACAAAGATACGGGTGCAGTCCTTGTTGGCTAGAATTGACTCCTTTCTTCACAATGGGTACAGCTCTCTTCATTCCAGACTCTGTCACAGTGAACTTTTGACATTTATCAGCCAGGGGCTGGTGCAGAAGCCAAGGTTCAGGGACAGCTCACAGGTAGAAGTTGTGTTCTCTCACTAAGGCAAGTCCAGTAAATCAGAGTGCTCACTGCACTTCATCCTGGGCTTCGCTAGCAAGCAGCATTGTATTCATATTTCATATGTATCAATAGGCTATTAAATAAACATATTTTAAGTTACTCTATTAACAGGTACTTAATAGTAACTGATAAGACGTGTTAGAGGTACTTAAGCATATTTGTTATTTAACTCTGCTAGATTTTAAGTGCAGAGTTTGGCAGCTCTGATTCATGCTTTCTTCTCCTGTCATGCCTAAGCATGTATTCAGTTTGATTTATTCCCCTTAATCATTACACATTTCATAATCGGGGGATTGCTAGAGGCAATTGTAGATTAATCTTAACAGTTGTCCTTCAAGTCCTAAAGTACTAGATTTTTGTACAAGAAATTCTGTGAAACTTCATGCAAGTTTTACAGAACTCAAGAATAAGTCATTGCACGTGACCATAGGAGAAAACTGGGAGGAGATGGCAGGATGAAGGGTATGTGGCTAGAATTACTTGTTTTACTTAGCTTAACGGAACAGGGGCTGACTGGGAATGCAGTATCTAGAGGGGAATTTGTGTAAGAAGGACAAAAAGGATAAAAAACATTTTTAATGTAAAGAATATCAACAGGAGGTAGCTTTGGACATGTTCCTTAGAACCTAGAGTTCTAAAGAAACTGAAGGTTGCAGAAGCTAAGCTGTGTACTTTGGTGTGCAAAAAGAGGACTACCTCAGGGCAGATGACTGCAAGGTGGCAACTGTGATACCAAGCTACACAGAGTCTGACCTGAGCCCCTTTTGGCTTGTCAGCAAATACATGTGTGAGCAAAGATGGCAATTCAGTGAAAGGCAAGAGGGGCAAAGATCTACTGGTGTCTCTTTTGTTATAGATTAAACAAAACTGAACCAAAACCTGTGTGTATTTTGGATTTGGATGTTTTTTGTTTGTTTTGGGTTTTTTTGTTGGTTTTTTTTTTTTTCTTAAATACCTTTAGTATTCTATTGTTTGAACGGAATTTTACAAACAAAAGAAAACAGCATAAAAAACTGTGTTATTTTGTAATAGTCCCTCTTGATATTAGTTGGTATTAAGACTTCTGAAATGCATCATTAGAACTGATACTTTGTATATTCTGATGTATACCCTACTTGCTCTAAAATACATATTATTAGCAAGTATGTGAAAATAGCTTACCATAGAGAAGCTTCAACTGCTCCAACACTCCGTATTTACAGAATGCCTTGATAGAAGAGAATGTCTCATTCAGACAAGCAGTCCAAAACTGCCTTGTATTTAGAGGGGCATTCATTTATGTAAATTCTGCTTAAAATCACAGATACTTAAATTCCTGTGCTGGGTGAAGCACACTGTCCTAAGAGGCAGAGATTTTGAACTGACTTGTTTGAAGTTGATGGGCATTTTAAATAGTTCAAAGGTATTTGACCAAACTGTAGCATGTAAATTCATTCTATGCATTTTATAAAAGTGCAACAAACTGTGCAGTATGATAGCTCTCAAAGTTTATTCCCAAACTAACTTCCTATTATCTGCTTTTTCAGATAAGAAATAATATCAGACACTATTTTGTTGAATCTCCTGCTGTTAAATTGTGTTATGATATTATAACATGGATGGCAACTCAAGTAGCAATAAGTTACACAGTGGTGCCATTTGTACTGCTCTCTGTAAAACCCTCTTTCACCTTTTACAGGTAAGCACATTCTACCTGTTTCCTTTTACTTTTCTTTAACTATGAATAGAAGTATTTTCTGTGGCATAAGATTTCTGAAACTAATTTAGTGGTAACTGCAAGATTGGTTTGTTAGCTGAGCAGACTGTACTTTGTGTTCAAACTTTGTGCTTTGTATGGGCAATGGTAAAGTGCTCTTGTTCTCATATCATAACAGGCTTGTCTTTCCCGGTGCAGAGAAAGAAAGAAAGGAAAAAAAAAAAAAAAACCAAAAAAAACCCCCACCAAAACCAGAGGGTACTTTTGAGATTACTAGCTAATGACTTCCCAAAAATAACTTGTGAAAAAAAGCTGAAAGCAGACTTCTGTGCTTTACATCTTTGTTACAGCAGTAAGTGTTGGGAAGGAACACTTCACTGATTTCCCCCTCACTGCTTTTCTTCAAGGCAATATTAACGTCTTTCTGTCTTACATGCAAAGTACTGTATGCGAGTAGGTTTTGACAGTTTATTCCTTAAGTGTCCTGTGCAAGCGGTCGGTTTCACTGAATTGTTTTTTTGTTTATTTTTTAGCTCCTGCTATTTCTGTCTTCATATTGCCAGCATCCTGGTGTTGTTGGTATTTCCACTGAAAAGAACTCAAAAAGGATGTAAAAAGCATGAAAGTGTCCAGCCCACGTGGTCCAAAAAACTAGAAGAAGAAAATCTTTTGCAAAAGAACAGTTATTCCACAACAAATAATAGTTTTGGTCAGAAACAAGAAATAACCTGCAGATATCAAGCATTAAAACAGTGATTGAGGAAACACTATGATGAATATATTTTGTATGTTTTCAGAAACCCATTTTTAGCACCTTTTAAAGGGGTTTGTATTTGTTTGCAAAGATGTTTAGTAAGAAAAGAATGCATTACCTAGGGAAATCACATACAATAGCAAGACTGGAAACAAAGCAAATTAACCCCTCCCATGCCATGTCCCTGTGGGTCACGCCTTATATGAAGATATTACCATTATTTCAATGGGCACTCAGGACTTGCAAATATGTCCATAGGGTCATATGTGTGCCCTTTGCTGAATGTACGTTGTGTATCCCAAGGCACTGATGGGGTGGAAAAAAATTGTGTCAATCTGGGATTAACAAATGGAAATTAATTTTTCCAAACGAACGACTTGCCTTAAACCCTCTATTTACTGAAATATTGTTTCTAAATGGGTGTTTTCAAGTTTGATTTTATGTGGAAAGCATATTTCAAATATGTAAAACTATATGCTATAAAGAACATTGAAATAGGAAATGCAAAGTCATGAGAAGGCTTTTGAATCTTTAAAAGGGAATTGCAGTAAGCATCTCAGTATCTGGAGGGTTTTCTTAAAGTATCTCAAACTATTACAGTACATTTCACAACTGTAAACATTACTGATGCCAAATTATAGTTAGGTTTCTTTGATAAAGAGTAATTATTTACAGCCCTTCTGAACAGATTAAAACAAACAAACAAAACAAAACACCTGAAGGTTCACCTTTTCCAGGACTTGATAGCTCTATTCTAGGTTCCTTTTACTTTAAAATACCTAAACCCAATAAAACACTGCCAAGTGGGCTTTGCACCTAGAGAAGGAAAGGCAGCTATAGGACACGGAAGACATGTGCAAGCAACAGGACTTCAACAAGTGTGTTTTTAACCATAAATGCTTGTTCAAAAATAGAACTGTTTTTAAAAATTATTTTTATTACTTAAAGTTGTTTTGGATTTTCAGGCATACAGTAGTCAGTTGATGATGCTTTCAGTATAAAATGGCAAAATTACCTTGAGCTCTTGAGCGCATAGGTGGTCAATTCTGGAATTACTATCATAACAAATTTCTGTATGCTTGATAATTGATGGCCCTTTATCCAAAGAAGTGTATGAATTTGAAGAGAAGCTTTTTCTTTAAATGACAATTTTCAATGCAAAGGTCACATCGTATTTGTGGGCAATGTAATGAACGAAAGAAATCCTTCAGAATATCTAACTTACTGAATTACGGAATTGTGTCAAGGGAATAATTATGCAGTGGTTATATTTTTCCAGACCATTTATTGTGACGATGGTCCCTACTGTTAAAGGGCTACATTTTAATTGCTTGTATTCTGTATTTTCTTATAATTTTTTTTACGTAAATGCAAACTGTTTATCCCTATGGGGTTTTTTTAGCTTTAAAACTGGCACAAAATACTACCAGAGAAAAAACGCAGCTGGCTGATTAATAACCTACAAATGAATTGAGAAAAATTTTGTCATAATATTTTGAACCTTAAATTTTTCATCAAAATATCTGGCAGTAGCAGGGTGGATATTCTTAGCACCAGAAGAGCAATGATGGTCCTCATCTTTGGTGATACTGCCATGCAGAAATACCCCCACTAGTGCTGGCTTATTCTCTAATGAACCAGGTCGTCGGTCAGGTCAGAGCTGTTTTCGTGCTGTGACAGTTCTGTGTCCAGCCATCGGCTCCTTGCCTAAAACTCCAGGAGGACAACATACCTTTTCCATAAACACAGGTTAGCACTAATTAACCTACACTGTCTGAAAAGGGGAGCTAAACATGAAATGAGTGGATGAGTGTTTAGATGAATAGGGATGTTCACAGCTTCAGTGACAGCTGTTTTGTCTTTAAGATAAAATAATCTGAGTTCTAAATCCTTATTTTGATTACCCAAGTAGACTTCCCCTTACACGGAGTCGTGACTGTCATATGCCTCTTTGAAATGGTATTATGATTTTTTTCTGTTGCTTAAAAGTAAGGGCACACTAGTTTCTTTGTTTGATTATCTTTATGAGATACGGAATCAGGAAAGACTCTAATCCACTTTCTGTTCTTGAAGGGACATTAACATAAAATAACAAGTTACAATTGCACATTTGCAGGTGGGTGAGTAGAACTAGGTTGATTCTTTCAGCATTTGTTTCTGTTGAACTTAAATTCATCTACATATCTACCCAAGCAAGCACTTCTGGATGCCAGTGAAATGTCTAATGTGCCATTTTCCCCAGTAATGTTCTGGTACCCTTGTTTTCTTGTTTTGGCGTGTGTGCCCCCATGTGTGGTGGAGGCTTCCTAATTCTTCATTATGAAATGTGAACATAGTGGTAAGCACTCCCAGAAAATAAGCAGGTTTAGGATGTTGAAGACTGGTACTTCAGTGTGAGTGAATTCACAGGTAGAGTTTTGTTCAGAACTTCTGTATATGAAGAAATTTAAAACAGCTAAGAAAATATGTACATGATTTAGTGAGACACAGTTGGCAAGATATGGGTTTCAAAATGGGAGGTGACTGGTGTCTGTGTGCAATACAACTACTGTTTTCTTTCATTATTTGAACCCCTTAAATAATTGCAGCACAAATTACAACAATTAACTAGTTCTGCAAAGAATTTAAGTGTAGTGTCTTAGAATTTATTCTTTAAATGTCATTGCTGAATATAAAAGTACTTTGAAACAAAAATATGCCCTTCATGCAAATGCATTCTCTTGGACTGTGGAAAGAGGTTTTTTGTTTCAATGGCAGTATTGTGGTTTTAGTCAGACTGGGGTTTTGTCGTTGCTTTCTCTCTGCTGTACTAGTTTTCTGCTTTGCTATTGCACTGGATCCTTTTTCTCCATTCAGTCAGAAAGTCAAGAGCAGCCAGCCCAGATGGTTCAAATAATTTTATTTTACAGACATTCTGTAATACTGAATTTGAAAGGATGGCAGTAATTTGCTATGGCTTTTGCTGAGAAAAATAGTAGAAATTAAATTTCCTAGAAATGGTGTGGGCATGAAGGAAACATGGTTTTAAGTATTCTTTCATTTAAGAACTAAAGTATATCCAGAAGTTAAGTGTTTTCAGTATTGCAGACCAGCACGCTATGAAAAGTAAATACAACATATCATTCATAATTTTATGGTGCTTTGCAGATATTTGCCTATTGTGAACAATTCATTCAGGCATTTGGCGAGTTCACGTTAGTAAATGTGGTCACCCTCATAGTAACTATTTGCTTGGTTACCCTTTTTAAACCTTTATGAGTCTGTATTAATGAAAGTTATGTATTTAAATAACACTTTCAGTGGTGCCTACGACTGTTGTGGTCGGGAAGGCTTTGTTAGCATTACAGTTACAGATACACCCTTCCTGTTCAGGAAACTTCCTCTTCCGTGGCCATCCCTAAAGTTGACTTGTCAGCAAGATTTCAGTAAGAGGTGACATCTTAAAATATATTACCATGTAAAAATACTGGTGTGCATTTCAATATGCTCTTGATAACAAATCATATTTTAGCGAGAAGACTTTACAAAGAGATCTTTGTCTTTGTATATTCCCTGTTCTACACGGACTTGTGGGAGGAGTTTTACCAGTGTAGTATATTATTTATTAGAAGAAATTTACACTTAACTTGTCCTGTTTCCCCTATGGGAATAACTGATATGAATATAAACGCTATGCTTGTGTGACAGGATGCACAGTAGGTACTCGTGCCTCTTTTGATGGCACTGATTAGGTTAGTGGTAAAATGTCCTCTGATGCAGAGGAGACCTTTATGAGATCCTCACCTCCTGTCAAATTCATATCAAAAGTCCTGGATTTTCCTCTTGGAAGCTTTGCAAACAAATTGTTGACAATTTGTTTAAATATATGATCAAATGTGTCCCCATGTTTGTCTGCAAATGTGTCACTGTTGCTTACATGTAAACTTTCACATGCTCAACTTTATAAGTTGGCCTTGAATGATAAATTTAAAAGCACAAGTTAAAATAGCTTAGGCTTTCTTTTCCCCTATCCTTAAGTCTTTAATTTGTAATTCTCATTGAATTCTGAAGTTAGGTTTGAGAATTTTTTTTTTTGTTTTCAATGAAAATTTTGCAATATTACCATTTATGTTGAAAAGTGATGTGTTAAAAAACGGAAATAAATTTAAGGATTTTGAGATAATGCAGACTATGTATAAAAAGAAGTATTGATTCTGTGCTGATTCATCACATTTAGCTACATGATTAGCCTTTATGTATTTAAGTCAGTCCAGTAATACTCTGAACAGCACTTGGGAGTATTTTTAAATTTCCTGTTAAAAAAATCATTTGGCTATAAGTACATATGCAAGTATTCACATGCTATGCTGAATAGGTGTTTAAGCAGATACTCCAGTGAATTGAGCCTACTCTCATTAAATTACCAGATCTGTCTAGGTCTAGGCTAGTTTGCACTGTCGGTCTTGATATTCTTTGTAGTCAAGGTGGAAAAGCTGGCTGTGAAGAAGTCTCTGGTAGGCGTGTGTCTCACCAGTGGCTGGGAGGGTTTGCCACAGAGTTCCTGGCTGGGAGCTAACCCTACACGCAGAGCCCAGCAGCAAATCCACTTTGTTGTGCTCCAGGCTGCAGCTGCTCTATGCTACATCTGCCTGGATTTTTAATGCGTTTGCTTTCTGAACCTAGACATTTTGCAAACATGGTGAAATCCAGGCATCCACAAAGTCTCCCTGCAAGGCTACAACTGCCAATATTGCAGGAAAACTTGAGATTTTTTGTATGGTTTTTACAAAATCTAATAATCAACTTTATCAGTCTTCATCCCATTAAATATTTAAACCATAATTTTGCTCACTTTAGGTATACAAATGTGCAGAAGCAAGTTTTGCCACTTATCTGTGCATTAGCTGTATGTCCAGTGACTTAGGCCTGGTTTTAGTTTTGGGCCATTTTAGATTTTCAGAACCGATTTATGTATTCAGAGAAACACTGTGCAAACTTTATGAATTGACAAGCTAGTTGCAAATCGTGTGCATAACTAGACTCCAAACAGGCCCTACGAACACTTCCCGAGGCTGGTGTTGATCCCCCGGCGTACGCTGCCCGCAGCGGCTGGAGGCTGCTGGGCGCGGCTCTCAGGGCACCAGGTTCTCTGCTTCCTAAAGTCAAAGTAGGCTCTGCTGGTCACACCTGGAGTGGCAAGTAAAGGGCTTCTTTCGCTCTGCTGTGAAACCAACCCTTACAGGATTTTCTGCTGCAGGCTATGAACACTAAATTTTACTTCAGATACATGACTGAAATCTGAGTTAGGGCCACTTTTGGAGGAAACTTCTTCCAGTCATACTGACTCGGTCCAGCACCTTACTCCAAACGACCATCTTGGTGAAAGAGACCTCTGCACAGTCCTCTTCCTTTCTTTGATGCTCTGAGGGAAAAATACCCCAGACTGGGTTTTTATTTCGGTTTCACTGCAATATGTCATATGAGCAGGTAGCTGTGGTCCATGCTCTGGTCAGATTAGGCTTCCGAACTGTGACCAAGTAATCTCAAAAAAATACACAGGGTGCCTAGAGACCAGTAATCAGAATAGTGCAACACTACATGTTAAAGGTGGAACGATCTTTTGTCACAAAAATTTGAGGAGTATTTGCCTATGCATATTTTGCCTTTCTATGTTTTCATTGGTCCCCTTTACATCTTTTCTTTGTACCTTCTTTTGTCCAGTGGTGTTGGCTATTTCTGTGAAGAATCTTCTGATGTGTCTTACCGTGACAAAGGTGTCAAAATGATACAATAGTAATTAGGTAGTTATTCTGAAATCCCAGACCTCTGATGTGTTCTAGATCAGTTAGAACAGAACATTCAAAATGTATTGAATGAAAAATAGTGTAAGATGGGTAAATATAGCATTATTCAAAGGTGTTGTAATAAGTTATTCAATTTAAGA